GGTCCAATAAGATGGATGGTAAGCTGTTACTTCACGGTTTCAGGCAGTGTTGGTTTACAATTGTAGACTACATAATCAGTACAATAGTACAATTTCCAATTGTAAAAGGACACTTGATATAATTCGATTTATGCAAGTATCAATAAAGATTTGCATTATTGCATGTTCATCTATAAAAAAAAAAAAAAAAAAAAATTGAAAAACCAGATTCAGCAAAAGTAAAAAGAGAAAATTTAGAATTCTAAAGAATTTAATTGAAAAACCTTTGAAATTTTAATAAAGACAATAGGTCTTTAACTATTTTTTTTAAATTAATAGGAAGCAGAATTATGGTTCTGAAAATTGGAATCATATAGACTCGCATGGACTTACATATATATAAAAAACATAAGTAAGTTATAATTTATCTATTAAATTTATTATAAGAATTGGAATCAAATAGAATCAAACACAGAATTGTTAAAATTCTTAAGCAGAATATTAAGATTAAATTTATTTACAATAAACTTTTAATCATAGATAATTTGATTAAACAAAAAATTCTAGAAATGTTTAACAACTTATACATATTTTGTCAACTTCAAGAAAAAACTTTGAACTATCTATTAAATTTATTAAGACATGGATTTCACAATATATCAATAAAAAAGTAGATATAAATTATATAGCAATAATTGAACTTTTAAGTAAATAAAAAATAAAAAAATTTAGATCTATAGATCTATAATATAATAAATTATACATGTGATGTAAATTATTTTGCTGTTGACTCAATTATCAAAATTCTTAAAAATAATTGTATCTAACTTAATTATTTTATATCTTTTAATAGTGACCCAATTAATTGTGTCAAATAATTGCATCAAATTGCATCAAATTGTATCAAGAATCTACCTATTTTTATCACATACAGTACAGTTAAACCTCTTTATACTAATATGAGTAGCACCAGCCATTTGTATCGGTATAACAAGTTTATCGATATAATTAGAGATCCTCTTTATAATTATGTTGTTTATAAAAATCTTATTATATTAATATAAAAAATTAAATAATAATCATATTTATTTTGAAATATGGATTTTTATTTTATTATATACTTATGAGTTAATAAAACTATCCATTGTTAATTGTTTCTTCTTTGACATATAATAAGTTCACAATTGACTTTGTACTTTACACAATTCTAATATTATTTTAACATTAAAAGCAAAATCCTCAGAAGGATTTATCAAAAATTCTATTGCATTACTAACACCTAACACTTCTTTAACTGATACAATAGGTCGAACTGTTATTTTCTTATTAAGTTCTTCAGATTCTTCATTAGGAGGGCATATTATTTCCACAATTTCTTTATCTATTAGGCCTCCTCCAGTTATTACATTATCATTAATGTTAATATATTCTTTTGCTGTCATTGGTTCTTTAAAGTTTAGTTTATCAATTAATTGTTAAACACTCTCAATATCTGATTCGATTTCTGCTAACAGTTCTCTAGAATCTGATAGAATACCAGTTTTATGTCAACAATTTTTAATTATATCTTCCTTAACTAATTTCCATACTTTGACATAAAAATTAATTGCATCCAAAATGTTAACCAGTGTAATGGCTGTTTGAAGTTTGATAGATCGTTTGTATACATCAATTCTATTTCTTACTAATAATTGTTGATATTGTGCCTAAATACAAATTAATTAAATTAGTTAATATTTAAATTAATAACAATAACTAAATTAACATTACTTTGAAAGAATTAATTATGCCTGCATCACATGGCTGCAGGTGTGCAGTCATATTAGGAGGCAAATAATGAAGCTTAATATTTGTAAGATTTTCGATATTCAAAATCATATGTGTTAAAGTATTATCAACTAAAAGCAGAATATTACGATTGTATCTTTTTATTAAACTATTAAGATTTTTAAGATAATCATTAAAAATGCTAGTTTGCATCCAGGCTGTGAAATTTCAATAATATTTAATCACTAAAGAACTTTTATCAATTTCATGAAATGGGCAAGGAGTTTTATGTTTGTGAATAAACAATAGAGAAAGTTTTTCAGTTTCTAATGCATTACACATCAATAGAATTATCACACAATTTTAGACTTCTTGATACCTGTTAATAATTTTGTTGTCAAACTTCGATCAGATTTCAATTGCCAATGTAATGCTACATAATAGAACCTGTAAATAATAGCTGGTAGGAATAAATTAATATAAATACTTACTAGTCTCATCACAATTGAATACGTCTTGATAATCATAATTACTTATTATGTCATACAACTTTGCACATTCTTTTTCAAGACTTTCTTAAGAAGCACTGTCCTCTTCACCAGATTTTAAGTATGACTATATATTATAACAATGTTTAAAACCTAAGATCCAGCCAGCCAACCTTGTAAAATGATTAATGTCAAAGTAAACAGCAAAATCCTTTGCTTTCTGCTTAAGAACGTCAGTAGTAATAGTAATATAGTTGTTGACTGCTATATTAAGCCATATAACTAATGCAGATTTAATTTGGGGATAGGATAAGGGTCAGATTTTCTTTTTCTTAGATAAAGATGTATCATTATCGATAGAAAGCCATTTATTTTTATTGCATCAAATATCAAAAATTGTATTTTGCATGACTCCATACTGCTCTGTCAAGTTGTTTTGTTTTTAGATCGTGGTTTTTGTATTAACACAAGGCATATCTCTTTCTTCTGAATTGTTATCAGTGAGCCTTTTTGTTTTTTTATGGTTTTTGATATGATATTGTCTTTATTTTTTCGTTTCATAGTATGTATATTAATATGCAAATGTTAATACATATTGTACTAGTATATAGTATAGCAGACTTTATTATAATAGGCCAATTTTAGATTTGGAACCACGAATATAAATTCGGAAAAGATAAGACAAAAAAAATCAGAAACTTTGTGTTTTACTTTATAAATTCAAAGTAATTTGGTAATTTATGAAGTAATTCAGAAAAATAAAAAGCACTTTATTTTACCTTTAAATAGAATATATTTTAACGAAAAGATTAAAATCTGTACTTAGTAGACAATCAAGAAGCACACATAATTTTGGAAATGAATAAAGGTATTAAGTATTGATTCTATAATTATTAAATATTGAAATTATTTTTTTTACTTATTAATTTGTCTTGCTTTTAATATATTGGCCTAAGCTCTTGCATATTGAGAAAGT